AAGCAACCAAGCATCCATCAATGGATGCATGAAAAACAAACAAAACGTGGTCTATCCACACAATGGAATATTACACAGCCTTCAAAAGGAAATCCTGCCACATGCTACAACATGGATGAACCTTGAGGACATTAGGCTAAGTGAAATAAACCAGCCCCAAAGAGACAAATATTGTGTCATTCCACTTATATGAGGTACCCAAAGTAGTCAAACAGAAAGTAGAGTGGTGGTTGCCAGGGGCTGGGGCCAGTGGGGTATGGGGAGCTATTGTTTAATGGGAACAGAGTTTCATTTCTTGCAAGATGAAAAGAGTTCTGGATATGGGTGGGGGGGGTGATGACGAGTGTGTATGTACTCAATACCACTGAAAGATGGTTAATTTTATGTTATGTGTGTTTTGTCACAATTATTAATAATTTTTAAAAAGAGTTGAGACTACATGGATTTCACCTCTAAATGGCCAAAGTATCAATTCACTTCAATCCACTTGGATGAGAGAATTTCTCTCAGAGGCCACTATAACTTCATACCACATCAATCACACCACACACTTCGGTATTTCTATGTCTTCATTTCCATTATCTTTTGGCCCAGCGTTCTCAATGTGACCAAAAAATCTGCAGTAGATCCATTAGCTGCTAATTTCCTGAATGTCAAGATCAAAGACACAATGTTCAAAGGCACAAAACAACTGGGACATTCTGCCGTGAGCCAGAAGATGCCTATATGCTGGCCCTACAAGCCAGCAATCTATACGCCCCCACGGGGTCTCCACGGCAGAGACTGTAGAACTAATAAACCCTCAGAGTCGCTCTGACCCACATACCACGAAGTCAGGCTGAAAACGAGAAACTGCTTCCACCCCCCGCCCACGCAGCTGCATCTTCTGAGCGCTCTGGTGAAGGCAGACGCCTGCCTCCAGTGGAAATCAGCGGTGATGGCCAACCTAACCGCCTGGGCGCACTGCGTGAGGATTTCGTTTTCTGTCTCCAGTGCAGGTCTATTTTGCTTCATATGGATTTTTGTTCAAAACCGGTATCTCCTTTTTCACATTTGGAATGAAAACCACAGCAGCTACCTGGAGATCTACCCCTCACATCATCTTCCCCTTGGCCCGACCCCGACCCCTGACAACTGTCTCTCCCTGGAAAACCCTCCTTCCCCAACAGGGAACAGCCCAGCTCCCGTCTTGCCTGTCATGGCAGACCCTGCTCCGTCCCCCCAACCTCCATCCTCCCCTTCACCCCACAGCACTACGGACATCTTGGGCCAGATCATTCTGTGTTGTAGGGTCTATCCTGTGCGTTGCGGGATGTTTAACAGCATCTCTAGTCTCTACCCGCCAGGGGCCAGCAGCACTCTCCCATCCACCTAACCCAAAATGTCTCCCAGCACTGACAAATGTCCTGGGACCAAAACTGTCCCTGTTCAGAACCACTGTTCCATACTATAGAGGCTTCAGGAAGGCCCAAGCCTGCCCGGCTGAAAATCGGATTTCCCAGTACGGTCCCCGCCAATGACTGAAAATGTGGGCTGGCTGGCTCCCTTGTCTGAAGGAGGAAATGCTGCAATGAGATCCAGGACCCAGAGTGCCCTCCCCACCACACACCAGGCTGGGGCTCAGCCTTGCTTGGTTGTCACCCTTCACCTAGACCACTTCACACCCACCCCTGCAGGGTTTTCTCTTGCATCCCATTTTGGATTGAATTGTATCCCCCAAAGGTGTGTTGACCTCCTAGCCCTCAGTACCTCAGAATGTGACCTCATTTGGAAATAGGGTCGTTCCAGATGGGATTATTGAAGATGAGGTCATCCTGGAGTAGGGTGGGCCCCTAATCCAACATGACTGATGTTCTTACAAGAAAAGACACAGACACACACAGAGAGAAGGCAGGCTAAGTGAGGGGGAGGCAGAGATGAGAGCGATGCAGCTATAAGCCAAGACCGCCAACAACCAGAAGCTAGAAATAGGCAAGGAAGGATCCCCTCTGGGTTTCAGAGGAAGCACGGCTCTGACAGCACCTTGCTCTTTGACTTAAAGCCTCCAAACTCTGAGACTATAAATTTCTGTAGTTTTTTTTTTTTTTTTTTTTTTTTGTTGCGGTACGCGGGCCTCTCACTGCTGTGGCCTCTCCCATTGCGGAGCACAGGCTCTGGACGCGCAGGCTCAGCGACCATGGCTCACGGGCCCAGCCGCTCCGCGGCATGTGGGATCTTCCTGGACCGGGGCACGAACCCGTGTCCCCTGCATCGGCAGGCGGACTCTCAACCACTGCGCCACCGGGGAAGCCCCAAATTTCTGTAGTTTTAAACCACCCAATTTGTGGTGCTTTGTCACAGCAGCCCTAAGGAAACTAATCCACACTGAAATCCTATCTCAAGCTCTGCTTCTCGGGACCCCAACCGCAGACAGCTGACCTTCCCACTCAAAGAGTATAAATTCCAGAGCAAGTTTGAGATGGCAGATATGAGTCCATTCTTCCCTCAATATCCACGAGCCTTTCTTTACATGAGAAAGAAGAAGAAGAAGGAAAGGAGGAAGGGGGGAGGGAGAGGAGAAGGAAATTTACTTTGGGGATCCTTCCTTCCTCCATCCTCCACTCATTCAATAAATATTGCTGAGCACTACCACATGCCAGGCACTGTTCCAGGAGCAGGTGAGAGAGCGGTGAATGAATAGACAAAAGCCACTGCCCTCCCAGGTTCACATACTAGCAGGGGAGACAGACCATAAAATGTACGGTCTACGGGATGATGACAAGTGCCATAGAGAAAACTAAAGCAGGAGAAGCGGGCAGGGAGCGCCCAGGGCGGGGGCTGCCTCTGGCGTCTGATACAAATGCTCCCATGGTCCTGTAGGGCAAGGTCTCAGCTCAGGCAGAGGGCAGCACACCTGGTGCACACCAGCACACTTGGGCTTCTTCTCTTTTCTGCCCTAGCCCTTCTGTGAGGTTTCGGGAGCCCACCTGGCCAGTGTGCTAGGACGGGCTCCATGCCCGTCCCAGTGCCAGAATGGCGACCTTCAGAACCACCACTGACTCTGACGATCCCTCCTTCCCCGTCTCCTCCTCAGCTCTCACTCCTGCTTCTTGGGATCACCTCCTAAATTCACGATCTGCACCCAGGCCCCTGCCTTGGCCTCAGCTTCCAGGAGAACCAAACCAGGGCAGGTGGGCCAGGAAGACTTTGCATTTCAGGCAAGGTAACCTTTCATCCAAGACCTACAAGAGCCAGGTATGGGGATGTCCGGATTCTCTACCTCCGGGGCCTTCCACTGATGTGAAGAGAGGAGCTGGCAAATCTGGAATTTATTTTGTCAGGTGGGCCTCCCTCTTTCAACATAATTTTCTTGACAGTTGAAAGCCGAGTGATATCAAATATCGAGGAGGATACACAGAAAGCACCAAATATATCCTGATCGTGTGACGGAAAAGAGGATTTGGGATTATAGCAGGCATTGCCAACATCGTGCCCACCTTCTCCTGACCGTGACCACTTCAGCCTGCCAGCTCCTGCACTTTTTTTGCATTTGTGGATGTCAAAAGTCTCTGTACCGGGCTTCCCTGGTGGCGCAGTGGTTGAGAGTCCGCCTGCCGATGCAGGGGACGCGGGTTCGTGCCCTGGTCCGGGAAGATCCCACATGCCGCGAGGCGGCTGGGCCCGTGAGCCGTGGCCGCTGAGCCTGCACGTCCGGAGTCTGTGCTCCGCAACGGGAGAGGCCACAACAGTGAGTGGCCCGCGTACCGCAAAAAACAAAAACAACAACAACAACAATAAAAGTCTCTGTACCTGCCAGCGTAACAGGACAGAAATAGCAGGAAATGAACCTCCCCATCCCCCCAGCCCTCATTCAGTGGCTGATAGCAGGTGCTGTACAAAGACCCCGGCTCCCTCACCGCTCAGGTGGAAAGGCTCTTAGGTGTGTGTCTGACACCGGCACCCAGTTCCCCCAGCAGGTTTCAGCTCGTCACCCACAGTGGTGGTCGGCTCAGTAACTGCACCCTTCATGCGACTTTCCCACCCCCTCCTGGTGTTTCCTCTGGTGTCACCTCCCTATTAAATGACTTCCCCTGCCTCAGGGTCTTCTTTTTCTTGGGGAATATAAACTAAGAGAGTGATAGCTTTGAAGATGTGTACACACACACGCACACACACACAGTGGAACAGCCCCTCCAGTCCTCATGTTTAACACCTGCACCCCAAATGTGATGCTAGCTCATCAACTCCCTGGCCAGTAGACCTCAGCTTTAGAAGCACCTTGATGTATTTGATGCAAAATAATCCCATCTGCATTACACGGGATCACTGTCCCCGCGTGGATGGTCTAGACCAGCCTCCAACTGGTGGGGTTTTTTCCTTCCCATACACTCCCCACATATCTTTCCACCCACAGTGGGGGCAGTGCTGTCCTCCAGCCCACAGAATGCCCAAGGGAGGGACCCTAAAAGCCCACTGGTGAGGCAGCCTGGTCCATGGGTGGCTCCCCAAGCAGCCAGTTGCTCTTCCCTGGGCTGGAAGAGGAAAGGAAGCTAATCTCACAATTTGCCTGATAAACATCCATCTATCACCCCGTTCTTCAGCCTTCGTTTCATTTTTCCCAAATCAATTTCTGAAAGTCAAAATGACTGACAGCTTCATACCCAGGACAATCACTCTCCTTAGTAAATAACCCAGCATCAATGACAAAGAGCTCCCAGGGCAGTGGTGGCCACATGAACCCACACACATGGTAAAATTGCATAGGGTCTGTAGTTTAGTTACCCACATCCGTTTTCTGGTATCACTAATGCACCCGGATCGTATCAGATTTATCATTGGGGAAGCTGGATGAAGAATACACAGGACTCTCTGTACTGTTCTTGCAACTCCTTGGGAGTCAAAAATTATTTTAAAAACCAGAGGTTTTAAAAATGCAAAAAAAAAAAAAATTAACTACTGAGATAAAAATAATCATTTTTTAAAAAGCTCCCAAGAGGAGACGCTGCCAACCCATCCCTTACCTGAGAACTGGGAATCAGCGCCTTCCACCAGTGTCCACCTTTCACCAAGTCGACCTCGCACAAAGGCACGGCCACCTTGCCGATGACACAGTGGCGTGAGAACTTATCAAAGTCCAGCACAGTCAGCAGCAGGGTCCTCCTCTGCGCCTCCAGGAAGGGGATCTCAAAGGTGTAGCGCTCCTCGAACACGGGCTTCTGGGTCTTGCGTTTGACCCCGGTCTGCTTGGAGTTCTTCTGGTCCGGCAGGAGGCAGATCTTGACGTAGGGGTTGGAGTGCGCCATGTCCTGGCGCGCGCCGTCATGGGAGATGGGAGGTGGCAGGTCCCTGGCCTCGATCACGCGCACCGTCAAGTGGTTGTGCAGTAGGTCGTACTGGGTGCTGAAGTGCAGCATGCCCAGCTGGTACTTGGACAGGATCTCTGCGTCCGTCAGAAAGTCCACGTCGTCGCTGTTGGAGCCGAGGGAGTACAGGCGGGGCTCGAACTTTCTGAAATAGTCATCTGGGGTATAGGTCCGTCTAAGCACCGAGGGCTGGATGGGCTCCTTCTTGGCGCTGAGAACGCCGAACTCGATGGGTTTAATATCGATGAGTGGGGAGCTGGGTCGTCTGGAATCGAGACCTACACACCCATCAGAAATAACAATGAACACCACACCAAGTACCAGACCAGACCTGGGCCGATCTGTGAGACTGACGACATCTCCCGGATCCTCACACCTGTTCGCTCTGCTTCATGATGCGCTTTGCCAGGTGCTCTCCACTCCCGGAAATCCTCTTATTTACTCTATGGGAGGCAGCCTGGCGGCCATCCCCATCGCCATCATCACGGCAGCTAAGTGCCAGGCAATGCCCTAACTGCACTGCGTATATCCAGTTATCTAATCTTCACAAGGTATTAGCCAGTGACTGTTATCTCCACTTTACAGATGAGGAAACAGAAACTTTAAGTCACTCACCAAAGGTCACACAACTAGTAAGAGGAGGAGCCGGGAGTCAAGCCCCACCTGTCTGGCCCCAGAGTCTGGCTCTAACCATTACCCTATACTGCCTCCACTTTCACAGAGTAGGCTCTGGGGCCAGAGTGCCTGGGTCAAATTCCAACCCGGCTGCTTCCCAGTGAGTGTGAATCTCTAGTAATGAGCCATGTGACTCCAGGCACATTTTACACACTCGGTTTTCCCATCTGAAACATGGAGTCCATCACAGCACCCATCTCAGGGACTGTGGTGAAGAGTCACTGAGCAATGCACAGAGAGGGCTCAGCACAGAGCACGCACATGGTTAAGAGGCACTAAATGGGAGCTGTTGCCCATCTTCAAGGATCACATTCACACCTCGTCACTTACGGGGTGCCTCTCCCCGGCAAGCAGCAGAGTTCACTGCTCCCAGGTTCATCATTCCAATCTCTGCTCCTCCCTCTATTCTAGCAATGAGCTCATGGCATTCTTTCTTCATTTTTAAAGAACTTAATTGAGGCATGATTGACATACAAAAACCTGTCTATATTTAATATACACAACTTGATGAGTTTGGAGATAAGTTTGCACCCATGAAACCGTCACCACAACCTATACCATAAACGTATCCATCACCTTCAAAAGTTTCCTCCTGCTTTCTTTCTTTATTTAATTTTATGTGTGTGGTAAGAACATAAGAGCTACCCTCTTTTTTAAGTACTCCATACAGCACTGTTAATTTTATGCACTCTGCTGGACAGTGAATCTCTAGAACTTACTCATCTGGCATAAGTGAAACCAACACCTGCCTGGTTCCAGCTCCCCCGGTAACCATATTCTACTCTCTGGGCCTAGGAGTTCGATTATGAGATGCCTCGTATTAATAGGATTGGTATTTGTCCTTTCATGGCATCTTGTTAATTGCCCAAAGCCTGTCTTGCTGGCTAAAATCACGAGCCTTTGCCGGTGCGTGGCTGCACTCTTTGATAAATGTGTGCTGGATGCAGTCATCTCTGTAGAGAGCTGGGCACGAGATTTAGGAATCATCTAGACTAGCGCCATCCAAGAGAAAATAAATGCGAGCCAGATACAGATGTACCAGCTACAAAGGTAACTTAAAATTTTCTGGTAGCCACAAGTTTTTAAAACTACAAAGAAACAGGTGAAATCAATTTTAATATCCGATATATCCCAAATATAATCATTTCAATATGCACTCAATGTAAAAACATTTTAGTGAGACACTGTAAATTCTCTTTTTTCACACTGGCTTCAAAATCCATTGGGTATGTAACAGGTGCGGGGCATCTCAGCTCAGCCACATGGGTGGTGGCCGCTGTGACCAGCGCGGGGCAGGTCAGCCCTCTCATTCTACAGATGGAAAGACTGAGGCTACAGAAGCCCGACATCCCCTCGGTTTCACTATCTCAAGCCCTTGAACTTTACTTCCTTCTTCTTCCCCACACAGTCCCAGGAAAGATCAGACATCAGTCATTTCCAGCTGAGTGGATTAGTTTCATGAATTTAAGCTTTTTCCCTGCTAAGTGAATTTCAGACATCAGCTGAATGAGACAGAGGAGACCCATTTGGGGAGTGACAGGAGGTTGGGAGTCTCTGGGCTTTCTCCTTCCCACCCAAATCATGCCATCTGGTCAAACACACAGGCTATACATCAGAATGGACAAACTGAGTGTCCTCAGGGCCACATTCAACCCAGAGATACATTCTGTTTGGGTTTAAAAGTAAAGAAGTTTCATATAAAAACCCAGACTGCCAGTTTCTCTTTCCAAAGATCAGGCAATGCAATCCCACATGGCAAGAGCTGAGTAGTAGCTGGCCCCTTTCAATGAGACGTTAGCTTCCTAACTGGCCCCAATCCCTACCCTGCCCTAGTACAAGGCCAAGAGTCGGCTGCCATTTGTCACTGCATTAGGGTGATATTTATCTCTCTCCAACCCTCTGCACTCAGTCACTGACACAATCCATTTGGCCCCTGAAGTCACTTGAATTTGCAAGCCCTGCTACGTAACATGGTAACTAGCACTTGCCTTTCGGGGTCCGAAATGATAATATGCTGACAATGTCATCAACTGAGCCAATTCAATGAAACTTGCGATCAATACTACAAAAATCAATCAAAATGATCGCTTCTTACTGAACTTGGAAGAAATCAGGTGCAATGCCCTCCTTTGTCACACTGCCATGATCTCTGTCATCTTGTCTCCTGGACTGTCACACCACTCCACCCCCTCCCCAGAGATGACCCTGTCCTTCACGTCTTTCCCGGGGATGCTCCTGAGTGTCTGGGAATGCCAGCTTTCTCCATTTGTCCTGGGGACCCAGAGAGCGGGGGTGTACTTCACGGACTCTGAGTGGCAGCTGAGCAGCAAGGCTTGCTCGAGCCAGGACCCCTGACCGTCAAGGCAGAGACGCTTACTTGAAATCCTCCGGGTCAGGCTGTATGTAGACTTAGATGTGTCCGAAGACGAGCATCTCCGATCTGGGGAGTTGGTCCGTGGGGTCAGCGGGACTTCACTGGCTGTGTGGACAGAGTTCCCGTCCTTGTCACTGCTCCGGCTGGCCAACCTGTAGGAGAGAAGAGGTCTCGGTGGTTGTCAGAGAATCCCCAGGGATTGGCATCTCTGTCCTGTGGGAGATAGACCCATGACGAAACTGCTCTCAGACCCAGTTTATGCAACTTGGAATAATGCAAATTTGAAATAAACTCTCAACAGCCGTTAACTCTCAATAACATCTTGCTTGTTGTACAAAATGTGAAATGATATAAATGAGTATTTCCCAATTTAGAACAATCTGCCAAGAATTTGCATAATTTCAAAGCTGAGGCTGGGGTGGGGGGAGGGATATGTAAACTTATTCAGGATATGGCCACACGGAGGGGGCCACTTTGACTAAACCAAGACAAGACCTGTCAATCTTCAGTCTGGAAGGGAGAATGTGGCTGTTTATATGCATCAGAACTTCTGCAAGTGGCTTTTGGTAAGAAGTGTCCCACTATTTCAACAGTCACTGTGTCTATAACATCTTTAAAAAATATCCTATAACAATGTCACTCAAAGTTCCTTTGAATGGCAAGGCTATAGCTACAAAATGGCCCTGAGAATCAATGATTTAAGAGCAACATTTTGAAGTGTAGAAACAGCTGCGAATTAGCAGCAGCCACAACTCAATGTGCTCCCAATAAGGATGAGAAATGCTGAAAAAATAGAAAGCACTTCGGGGGGCAGCAGTACAAGGTAGTAATCAAGAGCTAGCTCAAGGCAAGTCCCTCCCTCTCTCTGTGCCTCCGTCTCCCCATCTGTAAAATGGGACTAATAATAGTACCTGCCTTACCCAGTTGCTGTGAACACTGAGTTAACAATATAAAATGCTCAGAACAGTGGTTGGTATGTTGCAGGTAAGTGCTCAATACATTTTAATTGACGTTACTATAGCAGAGGTGGCTTTAAGATCCCCCAATACTCACACAGCTACTAAGGACGCTGGGAGGGGAAAGGAGCGGGGAGACAGCTTGCAAAGTGGCCATGAGATTGATGCTGCTGACAGCAAGCCCCTCAGCCATACCTTCAAGACTGCATCCCCCAACTTGACATTTAAAGCTGAGGTGAAACTAGTCTTAAAAAATGCAACTTTCAAATTCTATAAGGTCTGCAGATGCAGCCTGAGCATGACATGAGACTGATCTGATGTTCCTCCAAAGCTAGAGTCACAGCCAGGACGAATGGGCACGTTACGGGGCGAAACTCCCAGTGCTTGCCTCCTGCTCCTGGTCTGTAAAAGGAGAATGGAGGGGCTTCCCTGGTGGCGCAGTGGTTGGGAGTCTGCCTGCCGATGCAGGGGACACAGGTTCGTGCCCTGGTCCGGGAAGATCCCACATGCCGTGGAGCAGCTAAGCCTGTGAGCCATGGCCGCTGGGCCTGCGCGTCCGGAGCCTGTGCTCCGCAGCGGGAGAGCCCACAACAGTGAGAGGCCCGCGTACCACAAAAAAAAAAAAAAAAAAAAGAGAATGGAGCAGATGGAATGTGGGGCATGGAAGGGGGCAGACGAGGGCAGAGATGCGATCGTACTAGGTCAATCCTTCTCTCTCTCCTGTAAATGAAGCAGCAGCACCTCCCAAGGAAGGCAGGACCAAAATGTGACGCGGCCACTGGGGCCCCTCTGCCTGCATGGCCTGTTTCCCGGCTGTCATACCTCACCGAGGCCGCTGCCTCCACCCGTGAAGTCCCATCAGCCTTCAAGGATCAGCTTAAATGCCATTGCTTCCTGAAGCTTTGGTTGAGTCCTCTCAGACACGGTAGCAGTGTATGCCCAGCCCACCCCTGTCCCTTTGGCGACCATCAAGCCTCCATGCCCTCTGTTCCTTCCGCCTGGAATGCTCTTCCTGCCCCCGTCACCTGTCTTGTTCCTCCTCATTGTTCAGATCTCAGCTGCAACAGCAGCTCCTCAGAGAGGCCCCACCCTGTCCCGTCACCTCCTCCCACCCCGTCACTCCTTATCCCGGCACCCTCTTTTTCCCCCTTCAGCACGTAACTCTTCTTCAGTGTGGTCTGCCTGCCTATCTTCTGCGTCTCACACTAAGCCACAGCTCCACGCGGGCAGGGGCAGTATCTGCCTTACTCACCACTGCCCTCCTTGCCCTAGCACGGCACCTGGCACGTCTGGGGTGCTCGGATTTATTTTTTTCAGTGAATGGGTGAATGAATACACCTTGCCAGTGGTTCTTATCTGACTTATCTTGTGTCACTCTGATCTGAGTGCACGCCTTGTCACTCCTCCCATAACAGGGTACAGATCTTAATGGTGGGGTCTGTATTTACTATGATCAAAAGTACCAGGTGCTGAGCACCTACTGTGTGCCAGGCACTGTGCTAAATGCTCTGTAGGAACCATCATTTCATCCTTGAATCAATACAGGAGTTAGTCATTATGAACCACCCCCACCCCCTTTACAGACAGGGAAATGGAGGCCCCAATCGGGTGGAGGGAGGGGTGGAGAATTGACCTGCACCACTGTGAGATGGCAGAACCCCAGTGGAATGCAGCAGTACCAGACTCCGGATCACATGCCCCACGCTACAGAGCTGGGTATCCCCTGGGAGGCCTGTAAGAGCCCTGCGCTTAGTAGGTACTCAACACATGCTTGTCGGACAAAGAAATAACCTAATTCACTCTTCAGTGAGGGTCCTTCTGGCACTGCCCCAAAAGGAGCCAGTCGGATTGTACCGTTTTTCTGACCCTCACCAGCCCAGCCCAGCCCAGCCCAGCCCAAGAAAGCTGGGGGGACCCACGTGATGGAAGCATATGTGACAATTAATGGTGTGTCCCCCCCAAATCACACACACAAAGGGCCAGCTCATCTGCCACATGCCACCCCACAGAGAGGCATGTTCTGTGGTTCTTGGTTCTAATGTCACAGTAGGAAAGCACTACAAGGCCTGTACACTCGACATTCCTACTCCCTGCCTGTTTGATAACATGCAACTGCCTGCCTGGTAAATAAATGTGAGGGAAGCACAAGCACTAACTTCTCTTTCTGAAGGATTTAACCGGCCTCCCCTTTACAGATTTCTCTTAATATTATGCATGATATTGACAGTCAAAAATGTACTCAGTGTGCCCAGGATTCAAGGAAGACCTGGGTCATCTTAGGAAGCACGAAGGTCATGTACAGCTGCTCAGACTGTACACTGCAGTAACTCTAGGTGGTCCCATTCATAATGACCACCACGTGAAGGGCAACTCCTGAAGCTGTGTGGTGTGCCGGCTCTGCTGGAAGGTTCCAGCCCACTTCTCTGCTTGTGGCATAACCAAAACAAGTGTCTTCCCTGAGGGTCCCACCCCAGAAGAAATCCCCTGCTTGTACAAAGGGTCAGCAGCCTGGGCAAAGCAAAACTATCCTCCAACCCAGTGGCCGTGCATCTGTAACACTCTGCATCTGGGGCAAACAGATACCAGGCTGTGATTTTCAATGTCTACCAGGGGTCTACTCTGGTTCAGAAGAAAATCCAAATTCCTTAATCTGGCATTTGAGACCCTACGCGACCTGAGCTCGCAGGCCCGTTTTCTACGATCCCCCCGATTCGTGGCGTTTGTCCACCCTGGATCCAGTCACAGCACCCAAATTGTTTATTACCCGTAATAGGTCTGCAAACTACAGGGCCAAATCCACTGCCTAATTTTGTAGAAGTGTTATCGGAGCACAGCTATGCCCATTCACTAATGAACCGTCTATGGTTGCTTTTGTGCTACAAGGATAGAAGTGAGTAGCTGCAACAGAAACTAAGCCCATGAGGCTAAAATATTTACTAACTAGCCCTTTACCGGAAAAGTTTGCCAACCCCTGTTCGACTAGCTTATTATTTCTTGTGTTTCAGGTGGAATAACCCTTTCCCTGGTTCCAGGATGGTCAGGAAACCCAGGAATGATCCCAGCACTTTTTCCTCCAAGCAAAAGTGATTACATCAAGTGATTGGCACACGACCCGAGCCAGGGCAATGAGAGCCTTTCCTGATATATTTGTTGCTGTTAAAAATGAGGCAGAGGGGCTTCCCTGGTGGCGCAGTGGTTGAGAATCTGCCTGCCAATACAGGGGACGCGGGTTCGAGCCCTGGTCTGGGAGGATCCCACATGCCGTGGAGCAACTGGGCCCGTGAGCCACAGCTACTGAGCCTGCGCGTCTGGAGCCCGTGCTCCGCAACAAGAGAGGCCACGATAGTGAGAGGCCCGCGCACTGCGATGAAGAGTGGCCCCCACTGGCCACAGCTAGAGAAAGCCCTCGCACAGAAACGAAGACGCAACACAGCAAAAATAAATAAATTAATTAAAGTCTTAAAAAAAAAAAAAATGAGGCAGAGAAAAACAAAGCTTAAGAATGAGGCCAGGGCTTCCCTGGTGGCGCAGTGGTTGAGAGTCCGCCTGCCGATGCAGGGCATGCGGGTTCGTGCCCCGGTCCGGGAAGATCCCACATGCCGCGGAGCGGCTGGGCCCTTAAG